GGAGGAAGGAGAGGTCGGGAGTGTCACTCCAGTAAAACGTTCTCTCTGTGAAAAGCAGGGAGCACAGTCTCTTCCCTAACATAATACGCTGTGTGAGCCATGCTTCTCACAGCACTCAGTCACACCTGAGCAGAGTGCAGAGTGGCCGGACTTCTCGTCAGAGCTTCAGCTTCACAATGTCATCAAGGACCCCATCTTGTTTACTCAGAACTGGCACAGACTGACACCTAATCCACACTCAAAATCAAGTCAGTAACTGACCACACTTCTGTTCATCCCAAAGGAAATGTGCTACTGCTACTGCTGAGACAGAACAAAACAATAAAGAGCATTGTCATATCTAGGCTTGTTCAAGTAAGGATAATCTAATAAGGCCTTTAAATGTTGTCTTCTTCGAAGGAAAAGAATACAGCTGAACCCCCCCCCGACCCCGCCCCTTGGTACCAAGGATCGATCTTAGGACCATGTGCTTGTGAGGCAGGTGAGGTGCCACTGAGCTAAATCCCCAGACTTTTTTTTTTTTGAGACAGGGTCTTGCTATACAGTTCAGGCTGGCCTTAAACTCACTATGTAGTCCAGGTGAGCCTCAAATTTTCAGTGATCCTCCTGCCTCAACCTCCCTGGGATTACAGGTGTGCACCACTGTGCCTGGCAGCTAAATCTTATTTTAAGGAAGCAATACTAAGTCTCAGAGCACTCACTTGTTCATTTTGACTGGGGTAGTGGGCAAGGTGGAAGAAGTGGAAAGGGGAGGGGGAGGCAGGGGCAGAGCACACAGGAATGAATATCTGAATGCTCAAAAGGCAGATCACATATGGTTGGCAGAGATTAAACAGATAATGTCTTATTTGTTAACTATCTCAAATAATTTAGAATTTGTTAGCAGGAGACTTTATTTCTGACAACTCACACAAAAAAATATCCCTCAGGTTATAATTCTTTAGAAGCTACAAAACAGCTTTAAAAGCAGCTGGTTAATAAATTGGGTAGAAATGAGTTAGAAAAGTGTTGGCAAAAATGAGGAAAAACTGAAGCCCACATACATTGCTGGTGGAAATGTAAGATGGTGTAGTCACTTTGGAACAATCTGATCTTTCCTTAAAAGTTAAACATCCTATTCCCTTAGGACACAGCAATTCCACTCCTCAGTATACACCCATAAAAAGTAAAAGCCTGTTTCTATGCAAAAACTTGTATATCAATATTTATAGCAGCATTATTCATAATAGCTGAAATTAGCAAATCGCAAATGTCCATCAGTGATGAATGGGTTTTTAAGAATGTTATATCCATATTTGGCAATTAAAAAAAAAACACAAAATAGTAGTATGTATTGCAATTAATGAACTTTAAAAACATGATGTTTTTCAGATTGGTTTTGTTTTGTTTTCCCTGAAATACAGTGGTGGCTTTCCTTTTTATTCACCATTAGAATGCTGTCTGGGGAGAATATTTCCAGAGCTGAGCATCTACCATGGGTTTTAATGTCAACAAACTATACCTACACCAGCTATTAACATTAGCATCAAGAAAAATAGGCTTAAAGCCAATCATAAAGACCATGTATTGTGTGATTCCATTTACATCAACTGTCCAGAGTAGGCAAATTCTATGGGACAGAAAGTTGATCAGTAGTTGCCAACAAATGGTGGGGCTCAGGATAATAAGGGACTGATGGTTAATGGATATGAGGGCTGTTTGTTAGGATGGTGAAAATGTCCTAAAACTGATCTTGATGATGGTCACACAATTCTATGAATATACACTAAAAGCTACTGAATTGCACATTTTAAATTGGAGTCATATGGGACATGAATCAGGTCTCAATTAAGCTGTCTAAAATATACACAGGATGTGGGACTAGGACCTCCAGAAAGCACTATGGCCTGAGACTGGATAATCCCAGCTCCCCTCCCTGTGTCAGGAAGCCTGCTGGAGAACAAGGCACATTTTGCTGGTCACCTTCTTTAAAGATTCACTTGCCTGAACTCCTATCCAGGCTTGCTTTATTTATGAGATGATAAAGTTGCAGCAAGCAATTCTCAAAGAAACCCATTTGATGTCACATTTTAAAAATATCAAACGAGTGCCTCATCAGAGGAAGCACAGGAAACTTGCTTACAATAACCAGCTCTTGTGAGATGGTTCCCAACAGATGCAAAGAGGACTGCTAAGTAAGTCAGGGTCCAGACCGGCGCGAGTACAGAAAGCACATCAGCTTCCAAGAAAAGGGAAACCCTCTGAGCTATTTGCTTAGGGTTGTGCTCAGACAGACCTCAGATTATCCCTCAACCCTCCTGCTGCACTTGGATGCAGGGTGTAAAGTATTTACTAGATGTGCCAGTCTGTTTAAACAAGTTATCCTTTTTTATATTCATACAACCTCTATCAGAGGATGGTATTATCCCATCTTGAAGGAAATTTCCCTGGGCTGAAGGGCTAGTGGATGGCAGTGTTGTCTGGCTGCAGAGTCCAGGCACTCGGCCACTGCTCCCTCTCCTATAGTGGGTAGAGGCAGAATCACTTCTGCAACTGCTCGGGAGAACCCAGAGCAGAAGCTTCCGGTGGCTCTGAGCCCACCTCTCTTGCCTCAGGCCTCCCCTGGCAGTTGGAAGGATTTGTGGTCTACATCCCTGAAGTCAGGAGTAGACAAAAATCCATTGTCACTCAGCAGGACAGATACAAACCTCAAGATAATTTGTTTTCCAATGGCTTTGGCTTAAAGATCTGGTTTAGCATCAGTTTTTTAAGAACTAACAGCTGCAGGGAATTTTCAAACAGAATAGAGACATCAATAGGGCAGAGTGGAGTTTCCTCTCTTATGAATGCAGAACAATGGGCTGTCTTCAAGATGTACATGGAAATGCCACCACATGGTCTCCTGCTCAAGCCTCCCTTGGGGAGGCTAACAAAATACGACTGTATGGACCATGGACAGGGGATGCTTGGCAGGCACGGGCTCTGCCCAGTGGCTCCACTGTCATTAAGGAGGTCTTTGTCCATCAGTGACATCTATCTCTTTAGGTTGCCTTTCAGTTTTAAAGTACTGTACTAAAACCAAACCTGTAAATGCATCTTTACTGCCCTTCTTGACAGCCACTGTGGCAGATGATTCACTGCCCCTCCCTGGGAGAGGACTATGTGTCCTCCACCCACCTCAGTGACCTCAGGCGAGGCCACATGACTTTGGTATCAGTCCCTACAGGACAGTGACACCTCCTTACTCTGGGATCTCAAGGATGGCTGTGTGGTCTGCACTGACCGGGAGAGGGACACTCATGATGTGTTACTTACAAGCATGAGGTTAGAGCCTGCTAGTGGGTGGCCCTGACTGTCTTTCCTCTTGGACAGTAGATAGTGAGGAATGAACCAGAGCTGACCCACAGAAGTTGCAGCACTAGAAGAGATGAGCCTGTACTGTGGTAAGCACTGAGATTTTGGATGAGCCAGCTTAAGGCAATGAAGACTGCCACTAACCTTGATGCCAGCACTTCTCTGGCCTTCAATTCCTGCTGACAGCTCACTTCCTCCAGAAAGTCCTCCCTGACCACACACCTCAGCACCCTGCCTGACACCCATAACACACACACACACAGTCTATGCAGAGGTGACCTGAGCTTACTCCTTTGCTGGCGTTACATCTCCCTCATCACTGATCCCATTCTACTACTGAAACTGCCACATCTGTGGGCCAAGTTCTTTCCTTCTTGAACCTCTTCATCAATACATAAAATAGAGTTCTGCATGAAGCAGCAAGGGAAAGGGGGTAGAGTCCTCAAATACTGAAAATATTGAGTATTTTAAAGTACAGACCTCCTGTTACAAGTCACTTCTTTTTTCCAACCAATTTTGGTTGAAAACGGGCCTGTTACTTCACTCAGGAGACCAGAAGGCAAACACCAGCTTCACAGGCTCTCTCAAACTGACTCATCTTTTTGATTTGTAAGAGAACTCTGGTCTGTAAGAGCTTGAGTGACACAGTCACTTCCAAAACATTCCAGAAGGGCAACGACACAGCCTACTTTCTTGACCTAAGAATCATAAAAATGACAGCACCCTCCAGAAATTGTTGAGCGATCTAAAGGGTTTGATTAAAAGCCAATTCATTATAAAATGTTAGCAGTGATCAAGAGAGGATACAGAACTCCTGTAACATGTACTGAGCACATTTATGAGCCAGGCACTGGACCACTCCCACTGTGGACTGTTCTCATTTAAATATTACATCAAACCTAGGAGGAGGTATGTTTTTCTCCACTTTCCACAAAACAGGCTCCATACCTATGCAGATAAAGAGCAGTAAATGGAACCAAGGTCTTCCAGCCCCTTTAAACTATGCCACAATGTCCTCTGAAACAGAATGGAAAGAAATACTACTTGAGTAATGGCTGGAAAGTGAAGGTGGTGAGCGCACTTGTATCTCTTGATGAACAGGTCCTACACAAGACACATCATCTCATTGGAGGGCAGTGTGCTCAAAAGTAGGATAGGATCTATAAAAAGTTTCCCACAACAGTTATTATTCCAATCCTATCATTAGGCTAAATAATGACACTGTACTTAAGTAATAATGTCTTTCACCAAAGGCTCAAGGACAAATTGGCAAGTATAACTAATTTTTAAGAAGAAATTAATATACATTGAGAGGGGCCAGGGGATCACTGGAGATTTCCAGAAGGTATAAAGTAGATGAAGGAATTACTTATGCACCCACATACAGACTCAGGGTGAGATCAGGACAAATTAAGATTTAATACTACCATATAGCTGAAGACCTGAAGGTCAAATGTGTACACAGCACTTGGAGGTAATGATATAACCCTCTGCTGCCTCCTCTTCTCCACGACTCAGCAATGACAGTGAAAGTTCGGATGTAAAGGGTAGACAAGGGCCATGTCACTGACAAGGGAAAGCCCACGGCAAACCAAACCAAGCCCTGCACATCCTCTTTTCTCCCTCCCTGGCTCCCTGCCAGTGCAGCACAGATGTCTGGAACTCACCACAAGCTCACTGAACATGACATCCAGCTCCTCCACAGGGGGCATGGGCAGTGCTGGCTCCATAGTCTGAAGCGCAAAGTTGCTATCGTTTCGCAGCCGATACGTGATTTCTGGGTGGTCATTATTTCGGAAACAGCAAAAGATAAATGAAATCCCCCGGCCACCTCTCTTCCTTGGTGCCATAGCTGAATTCTGTTCTGTATCCTGATATGACTAAACTCTGCAAAAAGAGGACACGGCATGGTTAAGCATATAACAGACAAAAGAACTGTTTAAAAAATCAGACTAATTCAAGAAAACGCCCCTGTAATGGTGGCGATGTGTGGACCCTACTGGAAACAGAGGACACTCTACAAGGGGCTTCAGTCCAACTGGGCAGTGCCTTTGACCCACTTGCTGAATGTTCTCTGTGACCGACTGCTGAGCCAACTATACGACTCTGATAGCTCTACCCCATGACACGTGCTCTAGTCACACTGAGCTGCTGGCCATTCCTTGTACGTTGTGTTCCTTTACTTACCTACCTGCTTGGCCCTTGTTACTCTCCCAGCAAAAATGACCTTTTCCTCCTTGTCCCTAGGAGATCTCATTCCTCCTGTAAAGTCCAGTTCTGATTTCTCTTTCGCCTTTCCTCAGGGAAATTAATAATACTGCATGGATGCTAAGGTGTATCTCTTCATTCCAGCAGGGCTACATTCTGAGTTCCTTCTTTACACAGGTATCTTCCTGTTAGACTGTGCTAACTCAGTGTGCATGCGTGTGTGTGTGTGTGTGTGTGTGTGTGCGCGTGTGTGTGTCTGAGGGGGAGAGGCAGCCTCAATGCCCTCCATGCCAGGAAGAGAGGAGGCACTAAGCGATGAATAATTCAAGTTCACATCAAAACAAGAGAGACTTGCTAGAAGGGTTACGTGATTTTCAAACAGAAAGGATGAAATGAGTTCAGCATAGTCACACAATAGAATATCATGCATTCATCAGAGGAGAATGAGGCATCTGTGTATGTAAAGAAAAATGTTCAAGATCCCATAAACACACACACTCATTCGTGTATATATACAGATACATACATACATATGTTATTTAAAATATGTAATCCTGTAGTATATAGTATATACAGTACATGCTTTAAAGAATGTATTATGTATTTAAGAATATTTATGAAAAGGTTTTAACAGCAAAAACCACAAAAACGAAAATGTAACATCCAGGCATGAATTGCAAACCATGGAAAAAGTAGGTCCTGGCATTCCTAAACTCGGTGTCAGCAAAGAATTAAAGAGGCAAGGAATAGAATGTTCCTTTCATACTATTCTTTTAATAATGGACATATATTCATGTGTAATTTTTGTAGATTTTTAATTTTTAAAAAGAGGCAGGGTTAAAAGAAAAGAAAGTCAATGAATTGGCCCTTCTAGGGTTGTTGGAAAGAGCAAAGTAGAAGAAACACACTTCCAGTAGGGAAGGTGGAGGGAACAAAGGCATAAATTCCAGGCAGGAACCACAGGGAGTCAGACTAAATAAAAGGGCTGATGAGTCTCAAATTATTCCATAAGCAATGGGGAATCACATTTAGAACAGGCCTCCCTTGCTCTTCTCTTAAGAAAAAAAAAGAAAGAAAGAAAGTGGAGGAAGGGCTTGATTGCTTTCATTTTTTAGAATTGTGGACAGGTGACCTTGCTAGAGAATGCTAAATGCCTCCAGAGCACAGACTGTTGATCACCAACTAGTAGAGATGCTTAATGTGGTCATGCTGACAGTCACTGATAAGCCACCACAGTGTGTCCTCAGACAGGGTAAACTCTACACCAACAGACAAGATAAAGCTCACATCTACCTTTGAACTGATTTCAGGGTTGCTATCCTGAAACAGGACCACAGCTGTGCTACCTCTAGGGTAGAATTAAAAGCCAACAGGTAGAAGTTATGCCAGACTCCCTGGCTGTGTTGTCTTCAGACCAGACTTACGTGTTAGAAATGCCCAAGGCATAACATATTCCAATCATTAGGCAAAAGGTACCCAAGCTCCTGCCATTCAGCACATGCTCATTTGGGCTTCTCCCTCTAGCTTCAATCCCAACAGCCCTGTTTTCACCTACTCTATCTACTGTAATATTAAGCTTCCAACTTTTGTTTTTGCTCTTTTGTTTTTTGAGACAGAGTCTTGGTATGTAGTTAGGCTGGCCTTGAACTCACCCTCTAGCCCAGGCTGGCCTGGAACTGGCAGCAATAGCTCCTGCCTCAACCATCTGAGTGCTAGGATTATAGGCAAGCACCACCACACCAAGCAGGCATCAATCTCATTTTATAAAAACCTCCTGTAGGTACCCTGCAATTGTAAAAATATGCAAGAGCCCTGCAAAACCCTCCACACTCTGGCCCCATCTTTCCATCTTGCTGTGCAACATCCCTCTCATAAGCCACTGCACTTCAACCGCACTGTTCCTGCTGGCTCCTGCCTCAGGACCTTCGCACGAAAACTGTCTGTGACTGGCACTTTGGCCCTACATCTCAATATGGTCAAATATTCCTCATCATGAAGACCTCAGAACTTTCTCAGACAGCCCATCCCAATCAGCTAGCTGCAGTAGTAATCTTTCCACACCTATTCACTCTCCTTTTATTCTGTGTGACATTCTTCATAGCAGTTGCCACTGTTTGAAATTATCTTATTAATATCTGGTTATTTCAGGGGCCATTAATATATTGCTAACATTTCTCCTTCACATGATAGCACATGGGATCCAGATACTCACATACTTAATGAATACATAATCTCATTTTAAAAAGGGCCCCACTTAAAAAATTTAAAACTATAAGGAATGGGGTTGAAAGTCAAGGGAGTCTTATGTTTTACCTGTAAGATTATAAGCTTTTAAAGAACAGTGAATTCATACAGTATCTATGCACTTGAAACTGTGCACAGAGAGACCAGAAGTATGTCAGTATTTAACAATAGTCAATTCTGAAATTTTGTTCTGTTTTTGTCCTTAAGTTTTTTTTTTTTGGTACCGGGGATCGAACACAGGTCCTTGTGCTTGTGCAGCAGGCAGCAAAACCACTGAGCTAAATCCCCAGCCCTCGTCCTTAAGTTTTAAAATTAAAACTCAACATATCAATATCTGGCATCTTCTGAAACCCAAATTTAAAATCTGTCACAATTTCCTGACTTCATAATTAATATGATGGATAAAAGTTCTCATAAACAACTACGATTTGCAAACATTTCCTGAGTCAAGCCCTCTGCTCGATAGAAGGACAGGGGCAGAAGAGGAGGGCGTTCTCTGAAAGTCAGCAACTAGGACTGTCTGGGTTGGGGAGGGAGGGCAAAGTTAAAAGCAGGGTTTCCATCATGGAGCCCTGCACTATGCTCTAACTGGCACTGAAATAAAGACTGAACAAAGACATAGTTCATTCTGTTGGAGCACAGATCTCTTGGCCTAGGGTGCACTTGTAGAAGATCACACAAGACAAATGCAGTATTTGGGATTCTTTTGGCACTGTGTATCAAGACCTACCATGAACCACACATGATGGTAGATACTTAACAATACAGAACTAGGTCACCACAAGCTATATTCTGATGCAAGACAGTGGTGCACCAAATCATTTTAACAAACATGATATGACACGTCCTACTGTGATAAGTGCCAGGTGAACAAAAGGACATACCTAGGGGAGAGTGTGGGGAGGGTCTCCTAAGGATGGGTGGAGTTCTGATAGAACATGAAGAGTAGGCCGCTCATGCAGAGGGAAGGGTGAGAGTGAAGGCGTGAGGAGGAGGCCATGGAGTCCATCTGGAATGAGTGGTATGATGCAGATTGTGCTGACCATGGCCATCTTCCCACAGCAGAGCCCAGGCTCTCCTCTCCTTGCTCAAAATGTGCCAGTGGCTCCCCTGGTGCCACTGGATTTCAGCTCCACTTGTCCATCTTTTCTATGTCCTTAAAAATATCCTATACTTTACTGCACAGGCCATTTTCTATGCCCCAAAACTCCTAATCCTCTTCTCATCTTCCATCCCCATGGTCCTGTCATTCCTCCCTGCTTTTATCTTTGTCAGCACCCTCCCACCCCAACAGTACCAATGCCAACAGTGCAGTGAGACACATCTACTACTGCTGCTGAAGCTGAAATGTGGTTCAGCATTTCTGAAGGGCAATTTGTCAAAGCCTTCAAATAGTCACATATTTTGACCTAGTATTTCTATATCGGGAACTATATTCTAAAGAAATAGTCAAAGCTACTATCAAAGATGTTTTCACAAAAATTTTCAAAGTATTTCTATATTAGTAAACCACCAAGCAGCCCTTATAAAAGAATATTTAGTAACAAATAAATAATTATAGAAAATAAAAAGTAGGTCTGCAGTATCCAATTTCTATAACAAAAACCTCACAAATATGGCCAGGAATAAAAGGATGAAAGAAAGCCACCAAAATGTGAGGAGTAGTTAGTTCTGTCACAGACATGTATATTATCTTTTTTGTTTGTTTTTAAAACAAATTTCTCTGTACTTCCCACATGCAGCAAAAATGCCCAAGGCATGTTTCACTCACTACGTCACACACAGGAGTGCAAGCAACATACGTATTTGGAAAATAAATAAAGACAGCAAGAGCTTTACTTTTTCATTTCCAAGTTATTTCACATAAACTCTATTTACACTACATCCCAGTTGTACTGAGGAAGACCAGGGAAATAATGTTAAGATCTATAAATCAATCCAAAGCATTTTTCACATCTTAAAAATCAAATGCCAACAGTTCTATAAACAAAAGAACAGGAAGGTGCTGGCCCTCCGACCTGGTCCAGCACACCCCTGGGAAGAGTGACTCCAACAACTGCCTTGCTTCACTGGCACACGCACACCTGTCACCTCATTCTACCATCCCCACTTCCCAGATGAGACTTAAGGGGAGACCTGGGAGGGAGAAGGGCAATTAGCAGGAGAGACTTGACTTGCCCTGAAGGTGGAGACGTTCATATGGAAAAGCCTGTGTGGTTGGAAGGGGGCAGGGAGCTTGGCAGAGGTCAGGGACCTGCTGCTCAAGCCAGCTGGAATCCAGTCCCCACCCTCTCCAACCATGGTCCAAGGCCATGACCTCAGTTCAGACTCCTCTCACGTCCCATCCGAATGACTACAGCAGCTTCTCCTCCCCGACCCTTGACTCCCCAGTACAGGGGTTGGAAACCTTTTCTGCAAGGGACCAGACAATAACT